TTTCTATTCACAAAATTATTGATTTATTTCCTAAATTAGAAACATTGTATCTTCCGTTTGAAATTAACAACGACCCGAGTTTCTTGGAAACTCTTGGCACTTTTCTGATAATGTTCAGACGAAAGATTTTTAATTCCGAAATTAATTTCCCATCATTAAATTTGTTCAACTCAAAACTATTTTAATGGCGTTTTACAACACATCAACCGACCCAACACATTTTTTCAATATTTTGAGGCACCGAAGTCTCAAAACTGTCTTATTGTCAACAAATTCACCAACAACACAACTACTCACAAAATTCAACTTTTCTGAATATCCAAAAACACAATTTAAAATCCAATTTTTCGAGTACGGCCAACACAAATTGTCTCCAGAAAACATTGCCGAGCTTTCTACACTCCCTGAAAATGTTCAAGTTTATATTTCATACATTTCAGATATCGTTTTCAATTCAATTATTCGAAAAGGGAGCATAAGTTATCTCCCTTTCTTAAGTGCGGAGAGTCCCAATAAAGTAGTAGCAAATGTGTATAACAAATGTCTTGGAATATACAACCTTTTTTAATTATTGGAAATTACACTTCCAACCAAATTTTGTGTTACCGATGATAATGAAAATAACTCAACGAATTTGTCAGTCATTACCTGTGATTTGACACAAATGAAAGAGCCAATTTATATTGAGAAAGTTGTGTTGGAACATGTAAATTTTAACAAAATAAAACTTCCAACAACAACAAAATATGTGGTGATAAATACTGTGAGGGGGGACGTGGTAATATGTAAGTGTCAAATCGAGGAAATTGTAATCAGTGATCACAATGGAAATTTAAGTGAATTTGATTGTGAGAATGTGAAGAAATATGATTGTGACAAAAGTTGTACAGTGACATTTAAAAAAATAAAGTACACAAACACTCTTTTTGTAAAAGTTGGCATGGAAGTTGAATACAATTTTTGTGTTAAAATCTTAACTAATATCATTTTTCTAAAGAAAATGAGAAAATGGGAGAAGTAACATTTAAATCAAAATTTCATTATAATAACAAAAAAATTTATTTTAGTGACGATTCCAATAATTTGGATTTATCATGTTTAAACAAAAGTGATTTGAAAGTCGTTGAAATTGGCAAATTGTGGACAACAAATTTATCATCCACATTTAAGGATTTAAATAAATTTGTCATTAATAATTGTTTTGAATATCGACCACTAATAAAAAGCATAATTTTTGATAAAATGAAACGGTTGATATTGGCTTATTGTAACGTCGATAAACTTATCGGTAAAGAGGTTGAAATTGTTGTTTTATATCATGCTCACATCACGGCAATACAAATCGAAAACATCAAATTAACAAAATTTGTTGATTATGCTGATATTGAAAACGATGAAATGTTTTAATTAATTTAATTTAATAATTTATTTATATTTTTACTATTATTTGTCTATATTAGATTTTATTTATATTTTAAAAAAATATTAAAAAAATATTACATACAATAACAACAATTTTTAAATTAAAACAAGTAGCACTAATGGTCTAAGGGCAGAATTTCACCCTCCCAAGGTGGAGATCCGGGTTCGAGTCCCGGTTAGTGCATTATTTTTATATTAAAAATAATTATTATTATTATGATTAATAAATAAATGGTGAACTTGAAGATTCATAAAAATATTTGGGCTGACAATAATTATTTAAAGTCAAAAATACACATAA